GGAGGCCATGGTGCGGGCGCGCGTCCTCTCACCTGACGGATCTGCGGTCTCTGCGAAGAGAAAACACGATAGGGAGATAGGTTAGTCTCCGATGCAGCGGCAGCGGCAGCGGCGGCGCCGGCAAGAGACGGCGCGAAGCAGAGATCGATGCGACTGCACGTACCAGAGGGGGAGAGGCGGCAACGAGGGTGGAGGCGCAGGAGGCAGGGGGCTTCTAGGGTTTGGAAGGAGGCGGCGTGCGTGCGGTTATATAGGGGCTGGCCGGCTGGGGCTGTTAGGGTTTCGCCCGAGGCAGAAGTTTGGTCCGGACTGGGCCTTCTCGTGGGCTTTGTTCCCTGCGTCGTTATCGCTCTTTGGGTTCAACTGTCGGCCTTTGCAGTTTTTTGAAACAAATGTAATTCTCAAAAAAAAACTGCAATTTTCTCAAAAAAAAAAGATCTGCAACTATTTATTAAAATAATATTATTTCAATAAAAATCGTTCCCATGCGGCCATGTCCGAGTCGCTGATGAACAGCGCCTTAAAAGGAGGTAGTCCTACTCGCGCTATCTTTTAGATTTTGTGAAATATTCGTCGTTTCCGTATCTTCAAATAAAAAATGGGTTTTTGGTCTGCACGAGCATCTCCAAGACGGTCATTCTAGATTATAATGCTCATAATTTAATTAATTTCACAAATACTGTAAGACGCATAAGTTAGACAGTTTTTTTTTAAAAAAAAATCTAACACATCTTGTTTGCAGGACACGTTGCTGGCCACACACCAGAAAGCAGAAAAGTGAAAAGGAAATAGCCCAAGTTCATGCAATTGGACTCTCTCGTTCACAGCAACAATGAACTGGGGAAACCCCCTAAAAAAACAATTAACTGGGGAAATGTGCTAATGAATGGAATTATACAGAATTTCCAATTGGACATAAGTTCATGCAGCTAGCACTCGTAACATGAATTTGGCAAAAAAAGAAAGAAAGAAAGAAAGAAATTCACAGTACGAATTGAAATTCCAAACACCCGCAAAAAAAAAAAAAAAAAAAAAATCCAAACACTGCCGAAAGGGTTGCCATTTGACACTCACACTCCGTAGTCCAGACTTGTTAACGGATTAGCACGAAGTGAATGGTTACAAAAGCTAACACAGGAATTATCAGCTGGTGCCGAGCCATTCAGATGGGAATCATCCGTCACTGGTTGGAATTTGGAATTCAACAAGAAGGCCCCAAGATAACAGCCAAATTCTCCTTACATCACAAACATACAAGCATAGGCATGAGTGACAGACACCAAATTGCATGCCGACATCACAAGGAGTTATGGAAGACTATAGCCCGACGTCAAAAGCCTATCTTGTCGACGCCGCGGCTGAGAACCACAAGGGCCGCGTGGGTGCGGGAGCTGGATGACGAAGAGCTGGTCCCTAGACGAAGCGCAAGGCTGCCCGCCAAGAAAGTATAGGGAGCCCAAACCGGAGGCACAGGCAAGGAAAGTGTTGATGAAGAAGCTTGAGGTGGAGACGCAACTGCCCGACAAGACGTCTTTCGACGAGTTCCAGACTGCTTTCACCTTGCCGTTGCCGGAAGACACAAGGGAGGCCATGCAGGTCCTCCTGTACCTAAGCAGGGGGCGATGTGCGGCTGGGACTGACGTCGCTGCAGTCTAGGTCCACCAAGTTGGATTTTGTTAATTCTTTGTGGTCGTGACATTCGGTATCTATGTAATACCCCTAAGAACTTCCGGTTGCTAGGACAGCGGTTTGAAGTGATGATAGCCACTCGCCACCATCTCTGATCGCCTATGTTGTAGATCTATTGGTCACTCATTTCCTCTTAACGAAAGACGGGCATATACGTCCTCCGATTGCGACATCAAAAGGCAAATGGCCCAGGGAACGGACTCTCGGCCCAAACCCAACAATGAAGAGTTAAGTTACGCCACGATGACGTGTCCGTGACGGCCCGCGTGTCCCATACCAAAAGTTTCCGTTCCCAAGCCTCTGAGTCAAGCCTGTTGGATCGGGCTTTCCATATATTTTTCCTGTTGGATCGGGACACGAACTCCGACGCACGGCACGGGACGATAGGCAACAACATGCGCGTTTCTTAAAAAAACAACATCCATACGCGAACGCGCAGGGTTATGCTGTTGATCCATCGTGTCCGCACCGTGCAACCTCGACGACTGACTACTGCAGCAATGGCCGCGACGAGCGGCAACATGGCTGACCTGCCCGGCGACATCGTCCGCTGCATCGCCGGCCTGGTCGCGCCCGAGTGCCGCCCGCGGATGCGAGCCGTGTGCTCCGCGTGGAGCGCCGCGGTGCCCGCCGAGCCGCTGCCGTGGATCCTCCTCCAGCCCCACGACGACGACGACGTTGACGACGGAACGGCCGCTGCGTACGCCGCCGAACGGGGCAGCAGCGGCGGCGGCGGCGGCTTCTCCGTCCTATCGTTGCCCACCGACACCAAGCTGCCTCTCTGAGCATCACCACCAGCGCCGGGTCCGGGTAGGGGCAGGATCGGCTCGCGCGCTGCTTCGGCGCCGGCCACGGCTGGCTAGCACTCATCGGCGCCGATCTCAGCGTCATGCTGAGCAACCCGGTCACCGGCCACGCGATCTCCCTGCCGCCGCTGACGAAACATCCCATGATCGGCGCCGACGGCCTCGGGGAAGACGGCCTCGTCCTGTGGCGTACGTGGCTCGACTTGTGGCCCGACTCCGGGGATCTCGTCCCGGCGGAGGAGTTCAGGGACACGTACGTCCGGAAGGTGGTGTTCTCGGCGCGGCCGCGAAAGGACGACTACTTCGCCGTGGTGCTCGGCGGGTACCGCTCCTACGCCATGTATGCCAGGGCCGGCTCCACGGAGTGGGAGACGCTACGCGACGCGGACGGGCGCTCGCTGTCCCTCGTGCACGTCGTGGGAGGCTTGTTCCTCGCCGTCACCCGGTGCCACGGCAAGGTTCTCGAGTTCGACCTCGCCGTCAATGGTGGTGGCGCAGACGACGACGGCTGTACTGCTGCTGCTGCTGCAACACACCATGCCACCGAGCAAGACGGCGACGATTATTGCTACTCTCCGAGCGTGCGCACCTTCGTGGAACCGCTAGGCCTGATCAAGTCAGTGGACTACTTCGTCCCAGGCGAGGACATACACGTGGAGAACCACCTGGTGCTCATCGACGGCGAGCTCTACCAGATATGGGCAGCGCGGGAAGCCGAGCCCCTGCCGTCGGAGGAACACGACTCTGAGAAGAAGCTGAACCGGTACCACATAGCGGACGTCGGCGTCGTCAAGTACGCCCGCACGGCAGAAGGCTGGGAGGCAGCGGCGGATCTCGGCGACTGGGCCGTGCTGGTCGGGAGGAGCGAGACGGTGGCCGTGCGCGCCGGGGACGTGTCGGGAGTGAGCGCCAGCTGCGTCTACTTCATCGCCGGCGAGCTGGAAGACGTGGTCTGCGCGTTCCGCTTGAGGAGCGGGCGGGTAGAGCCGGTGGGCGGTGACGTGCTGCGACACGCGTGCGCCACGCCGCTGCCGCCGGTTTGGTTCCTGCCGTCACTCGAGTAGGCTCCCACGTCACATTAATTTGTATTTCTCTGGTGAAACATCCTAGGATCAGCTAAGCTCAATTTTTTGGATGCTTTTTTGTTATATAGGGAATGGATATTACTCCTCATAGTCTGACGACAACATAGGCCAAATGCTAACTTCACAGCCCCAAAATTAGAAGACACAATCACAAATAAATCAATCTTATATCTTTTCTCACCTTTTGTCATACACAGCGGGTACCCAAAACTAAAAGACACAATCACAAATAAATCAATCTGTATCTTTTCTCGTAGGAACGAGCTAGAAATTAAAGTGGGGAACCAGGAAAAAAAAAACTAGCTTAAACTTAAAGTGATGGCCAAATCATCCAAGCTCATGGAGATGATCTGATGAACGGTCGACGCATGTGATGCCTGATGAAACCGACTTAGCGTGCGATGCATCCGAGGGCTAGTATTAGAGCATGTTTAGATCCCTTTCAGTTTGTAAAATGACACCGTAGCATTTTCATTTGTATTTGGTAAAAATTGTCCAATTATGGACTATTTAGGCTTAAAAGATTCGTCTCGCCAATTACGGACAAACTGTGCAATTAGTTATTCTTTTTACCTACATTTAATGCTCCATGCATGTGCCGCAAGATTCGATGTGACGGAGAATCTCGGAAAATTTTGGATTTTGAGTGAGATCCAAACATGGCCTTAATGGGCAATTGTCCAGTCGTCAGTGCCTCAGGGCTTACTCAGGGCAGATACATTAGTACAATAGTACGATCTCAAAGGCCATCTCGCTCATGTAATGTCACACAAGATTTTTGAATAATAACCTGGAGGAGAGAGAGAGGTGCTTGTTTAATGAAGCAACCACCTCATGGCAAAAAAAAAGGGTATAAAACAACTACATTTGGCCATTGTATGACTTAATATTACTATATAACTCATAATTTTTCTTTGTTGATTACGCAAATTAAAGATAATTGAATTACTATTACTATAAGATAACTTAAAACATAACCAGTTATATGAGTTATTTATTTGGCCGTTTCATTATTATATGGCAATTGTTCGTGATACTGTACTATTATGGTGCGTGCAAAACAAAGGGTTAATTGAAAGAGAAAATTACTTATTTGACACAGTGCCAAAACATGTTTGTACTAGAGAAACCGGAGGGGCAAAATCATCCTTTTGATTAAATATCTACCACTACTAGTACTATTAGCGTGGCATTAGAAACATGCCAATACAATCATTGGCTTACCTAAAACTTGCCATTTTAATAAAATGATTTAATACATCTGACACCCCCTTGGGCCCGTCTTAGGCGCCTATATATATTCAAAATTTCTAAGTTAACTTCTGCTTCTTCTCTTTCTTGAACCGCTGTAGCAGCACCCAATGACCCAAAGATCAGGATACTTTGTTGATTAGTGGTCAGGAGATCAGGACAGGGCCCATCAACTCACTAGGCAGAAAAAAAAAAGAGAGAGGAGCTGGCAATGACAGAGACTTGGACCATAGCTAACCAGCACGCCCCAAATCTGGGGCGCTCCACTCTCTCAGTTGACACTACAGAAACAGGAAGCTTCAATATTGCGTTGCATCAGAACGAATGTTGACAAGCAGAAGATGCCATGATTGTAACCCCAATTATTTCAAAACTATCAAAAATGTATCAAAATCTAAAATTCATTTCTCTTGAGCTTCACACAAACCATTGCTTGAACCTAAATGGGCATGTAGTGGCCCTAAATCTGGGACTTCTTCAATACCTTCAGCAGGCTGAGGGAGAACTCGAGTAAGGATTCCATTCAATCTCAAAACAGGTAAAAGGAGAGAGAATGCATGGATACACAAATACCTGTAGGATTTCTAGAAGGCGCCATAGTAGGTAGTTGATAATCATAACTAGGCAAAACAGTTTTCCAGCCCAAGATCCGCAGGTAAGATATCTACACCATCAAAGGCACCAAATGAACTAATGTATTTCAATTTGGATGACGGTGAAAATATGGAGATGTCGATCATAAAATTGATTAAGATCTAAACATTATTTGGCACAAATAACATATAAATTGATTTATAGCACAAGAAAATGAGAGGACGATGAAATAAATTTAGTTAGTCAATGATAGACCAAAAAATCAGATATATATTGTTTCATTAACAAAATCTATTGAAGAAACAAGATGTTGTCAATGCCTTATATTTACTCACCGGGGAAGGCAATTTAGTAAATTTGTTGTTGGAGACTGCATTGCACGACCATAAACAATCTCAGTTCTTTTGGCCACATCATCCCAACTATAAAGTTTTTTCATCTAGGATGCAAAACAGAAGAAGTTGAATCAAGACCAAGGAACTTGCATATGAAACTCAAACTAAACAGAAGCTAATGAAAAATGAACTCAATAGAAAGGGTCCAATCCTAAGTCAAATAAGGTGCAGAATCTCAATAGAAAGGGTCTAATCCTGAGTTCAAATAAGGTGTGGAATGTTGGGAGTTCAGGCTCACCCGAAGATGCATAATTTGGGGGTCTATGCCAGGTAGCATGTCAATGGCTTTCTTAACAGCTGTTACCATATCTCCAGGAGCTGGTTCTGCAAGCACTATCATGTCATCTGGAAGAACCTGTAAAAAGAAATAATGAATGCATGAAACTCAAAAATCATCTAACCAAGGTTGGGATTTTCTGTAGAAGGGAAACTTAAGATCAAAACAGCATACCTCAGGGACACCGCCAACTCTAGTGCTCACTGTCAACAGTCCACAGCTTGCTGCTTCTAGAATGGCTATGCAAAATGCCTCTGTAAGTGAACTAAAAATTACAAAGGTTAGTTCCACTGTTACCACAGCATTATACATGCCTCTGTAAGTGAACTAAAAATAACAACGGTTAGGTTCCACTGTTGCCACAGTATTTATACATAAAATGGTCAAACCCTTTGTATCTCTCCCAGAAATTAACTTGCCTATCATCTAGTTTCTCTATTGCATTATGTTATAACAATGAAGGTAGGTGATGCAAGATGAGCAAAAAATTACCATCCTTCAGTTAACTCCTGATCCATCTACGTATATTTAGAATTCAGAAAAGGGCTTCCAATTACGTCCATGAATAAACCTGTGTATTAAATCCTATTCCTAGTTTGTGTTTTTGGACCACATATTCACAATAATCTGGTATAAAAATGTCAAAATTCTACTGCAAACACATAAAAGGTATCCCAAATTCAAATGGCTCGAAGTCCATCAAGAAAAAGAGGGACAAACACACTGGAAAGTAGAAACAGAGATTTTCAACATGTAATGATGGAAATGTAGGAAGAGTTTACCTGTTCAAAAATATGTGCCCAGACATCAGAACCAATCGCACTTGAGCATGAGGTACAGCTCCTAGCATCTCAACTCTATCCTGAAGGGAGAACTTCTCCCTCATTTCTTCAAGACGCACATGTTTTGGACCATCACCGCCAACAATAAAGCGAACCTGGCAAGTACATAGTCATTAATTGACACCAACTTACTAAATCTAAAACAGTACATACAAGAGATGACTTCATAAAAACAGCCAAACTCTACTGTCCAATAAAACTGTACTGTTGTACACTTTGTTTTACATTCGCAGCAATCAAAACATTTAGTGATCAAGAGTGTCATATACTGCATAACAAAGGCTCTCCCCTAGTGTGCACATACACAATTCACCAGGGTTATTTGACTTAAAGAGTGATGTAGCTCAAACTCACATTTGGAAATAGACGGCATACTTCTGGAATGACTTCAACAAGAAGGTCGGCACCTTTTCGGTATACTAATCTACTGATCACAACAATGACTATTCATCACAGCTCAAGCGTTTGGGGGAGGGAGTAAACGTTGCAGTATCAACTGCATTAGGAACCATGAAAACCTTCTCGGGAGATATCCCAGACCTCAAGACGGTGTTCTCTTTGCTTGTATGAGAGACACATATTGCCTGATCAATATCTGCAAGAGTAAACTGCAGCACCTTATTCATGTGAATGCTTCCAGCATCAGCAAAACCATAAAGTGAGTGATCTGTGAAGACAACTTTGTACCCCATTGTCCTAGCATGCATTAATGCTTCATGACACAGCGTTGAAAAAGCTTGATGTCCGTGCACGACAGAAATCTTCTCTCGAATAATAATTATCCTTACAATTGGAAACGTCAAGAATAATGTAGGAAGTGTATTCTGCATCAGGAATGGCCTCCATGGTACATAATAGACCTTTAAACCGTTTGTGACATATCGTACTCCAGATCTGTTTCCATAGGCATGCGTCATGACAACAACCTAGGCAAAACACATAAATTTCTTTCAATACTTTGCTAAAAGATTGGCAGCTCACAGTTAATGATTTTACAGTTCTTCTAAATAAGTGTGCCTTAGGTAAATATCTCCTAAGCATGTCCATTTCATCCAATCTGGCAGCATCTCAGTGTATGTGCAATATCCTAAAAATCTAGTATAACACAAATAAGGGTAAAGAAACTGATGGAAGTGGCAGATTCGAATAAATGAAAATGGCAGATTCGAGAGAAAGTGACCATTAGTCTATTGGATGAATATTTGTTAAGAGTATCAAACAACCTAAAGAATGGATAGGCAAACAGAAAGCTACATAGCTTATGAGGAAAATAGGACCTTATGGCCAAGCTTAAGCAGACATTGTGATAGGTAGTAGATATGGCTTTCCACCCCACCAAAGTTTGGAAAGAAAAAGTCAGACACCATCAAAATCCTGTGCTTCGTGCCTTGCCCATCCATTACGTCAGAAAACTGAAATAAAAAAAATAAAAACCAAATAAGCATAACATGATGTAAGACCACAGGGGTTACAAAGGGAAAAAGGCACTGAGCAATATTTCCAGTTTTGTTCTAGCATTCTACAGTGCTGTGGGTGTTTTGACTATGAATGTTATTGGAGTTTTCTTCCCATGTGTTTCAGATCTTTCTTCTTAATGAAATGATATGTAGCTCTCATTCAGTCATGCATGTTTGAGATAAAAAAAACAATGTAGAGCACCATAACTAAACCTGCATCAGTACAATGGGCTGATAAAATAACTTACAATGCCAACCACAATATGAAGGATAAGCATCTTTGTTCCAATAGATTACTAGTAGGCATTCCCTCATGATGAGGATTCAGCCATACAAAAGGGCAAAAGAGAGTTTCTCTTAAGGCTAGAGCCATTTTTCATTCACCCAGTTACCACTGTCCTCTATTTCTATCTTCTGTTTTGCTAGGAACGTGTTTAGTTTCATCCAAATCTGGAAAAAATATCTAGCAAACCATTTGTATTTTTGTTGCCACAAATTCAATACATGTGTAACACAAACCACTTTTGGTGTTACATGCTAAAAGGAAATCTCAGGTTCAGTTCAATTCTGGGTCAAGCTGCAACTTCCCAAGAGCAAGGTTCTAACCGCCTTCCCTTAGAAATAGCCTTTCTCAGAAGTCAGAACTCAAAGTCTCAAGGTAACCTGCCTGTTTGGCAGCACTGCATTTTATTGCACTGTCTGGTGGATCAAGGTTGAATTCGAAAGACTTTTGTTCTCTTTCTTGTTTTGTCTGAACTCAACAACTATAAGATTCAAGGATTGTTTCTGTGTCCATTTGATTTATGCCTCTGCACTGCCCAGCAATTCATATATTGTCAATATTAATCCTTTTATGATATATGTAGTACAAACAGTAAACATGTAAAGCATCTCCAACAGGTGACAATACCACTACAATAGCTAAAGTGGGGGAAAAAAACTACTACAGTTTTTGGGGTTTGGGTTCCAATATAACAGCATTCCCACCGAATGAGATTTTTTTTATTGTCGTCCAAAAAAAAAACAGTCCCCTCCGAAAAAAAAAGGGAAACCTCATCGCCCAATCCGTCGGTCTACCGAGCGTTCGAGGCCGCGATGAGAGAGGGAGGTTGAGCGCTCACCAGCTTCGAGGAGCAGGTCGGCACGGGCGGCGGCCAGATCGAGCCGTACTGGTGAGCTTGGCGTCAAAGCATGCGACGACGACTGAAATGGTGCTGCTGGTGGAGGAGACAAAGGGGCGGTGCGGCGGGGGTGAAGGATTCCAGAAGGGGAGCAGGGGAGAGAGACGCCGGCGGGGGAGCAGGGGAGACAGACGCTGCTCGAAGATGAAATAAATTTTGCTATAGTCAGTGATAGACAAAAGAAATCAGATATGCATTGTTTCATCATTCAGAATTCAAAATGACATTGATTGTTCTCTAATTAGTATTTGCAACTCAATGCCGGTTGGTCTTCTATCTTCTATCTTTTATCTTCTGCTCACTCCGTTTCAAATTATAAGTCATTCCAAGAATTATAGAGAGTCAAAACATTTTAAATTTGACCAAACATTATAGAGAGAATTATAAAATTTTTTAACATCAAATAGGTATAATATGAAAATTTAATTGATGAAGAATCTAATAGTACTTAGTTGATATAATAAATGTTATTATCTTACCATATAAATTTGATCAATGTTGAGATGTTTTGGTTCTCTAAAATGCTTGGAATGACATAATTTAGAACGGAGAGAGTATATCTAAATAAACGAGCCCCACTAAAATATTTCTCTAGCTTCTCACGATGCCGTCATCAAAATCTGTTTCACATCTGCATTCCTCTTCCACCAATCGAGCGTTCAATTTGGTGCAGCCCAATCCGGCTCCTCCCACAAGTATGCAGAACGACCATGCAGGGCGTGAGTGGGTGACTGCCGGTTTCTTCTTTTTCATTCCTATGCATCATGCCATCATGCATTGTTGTTTTTTAATGTTAGTAGGTAAATATTCGTGCGTTGCAACGGAAACAAAATATTATTTGTGCCCCTCAACATGTCGGTGTGACACTTGTGGTGTTGTTTATTATTGGATACTAACGTCCATGGATTATTTCCGATTTGCATCCTGAATTCATGTGTATCGTTTAATTTCATGAATGCAATGCTCCTCATGTCACAGTGCAAATTGTGCAGATTCTTGTGCAGTGCAAGAGGCATAATAAATTTTCAAGGTTTTCACTATTGGTCAGTAACAATGTGATGTCCGTCGCTACCTCAAGTCATTTCTAACATCCCAAAGCAACCTTTAGAACCTACCAAGACACCTGATCTCGATGACAGTTCAGATCTGGACCCAACACCATCACAAGGCTTGGAAGCACATTATTCACAGTGCTGCACAACCGGCTGCACCACCTACCCCTCCATCAAGTGCCTCTGCTTCTACTGGCTTTCCTACCAATCAACCATCTAGCACCCTCTGCATTTGTTGTCAAACTGTACCAGACAACTCAGGTTTACATTGAGTTCTAAAATAGTTTGAATGTGCAAGAGCTTCATTCAGGAGCGTGTCCATGGCTTGTAGGCAACGACAGTGCACCAGCTAATAATTAAGATATATTTTGATGTAGGTTTACCAGGAGTCATCAGTGTTAAGGCCAACATTCATTTATTCGCAAAAAAAAAGGCCAACACTCATTAATACAAAACCCATACAACAAGGAGCTGGGACTTAAGATGATGATCTTCAGTATATGTTGTTTTTAATCATCCTCCATCAGCCATTGCATGATCAGTTCTACGATGGATAGTGATAGCAACCTCCACGATAGGCATGCCATGTTGTGATCTCTAGTTCTCCAAAGACCTATAAACTCATTCAGAATGTTCAGTTCATCAGATGCCAAAAACGATACAGAAAATCACCACGACTGCTAGTCACCTAACGCCAAATACGATAAAGAAAAAATCAGTTTCAGTAAACAAAGAATGTGCTGCTGTTTCAAACCATAAATTAGTGAGCTACTTCAAGCCTTAGGAATATATTACGTTTGAAGCTATAAATGTACATTCAGTTAGCATGACATTGGAAACAATGTTTAGTATGGTTCAGTTAGCATGACATTGGAAACGATGATGATCAGTCAATCGAGTCTTCTTGTCCGAGAAGCAACGGCGATTCGAATCGATTAAACCCAGCTGGGGATCCCTATCCACACGACATATGTAGAACCTGAATCTTGCATATGTCAACCCTATCTTCGGATCCTCGCAAACAGAACGGGTTCGCGCCACCCGAGAGCACAGTACTCCACTACTCCAGCCCATGGCCACGTGGGTACACACTACTCCCGCCATCTCTCCACTCCCAGTGCGCGGTTGTCTGTTCTCGAGATAGAATAGCCGAAGTTTCAGGCTTCCCATAGTATGTGGCTAGTTGTGAATTCTCGACCAAACAGGTTAACAACGGACGGTTCCTAAGCGACACAGACGGAAGACTGCTGGCAATCAGGACCAGCCCTGTCACCCCTACATCCAGTCCAGTCTCAATTTAGATTCATGTCACATTATTCACCATATCTTCCATTCCTCATAATGTACATAACATATCATTTTCAAACCTACTACTCAAGCAAGGCTAAGCATACTAAGCATTTTTCATAAAATGAACTGCTACAAGGGTACAACTGGTATATCAAGGTAGATCATACATCAGATAGGATTTGCACTCAACTCCTATAACTTAATGCATTATTTTAAAGCAAAGCGATAAAAACTTTATAAAACCAAGGTAGGGTTTAAATGCATCCGGGGCTTGCCTTGCGTCTCGGGGTAGACAGGCTCTGGGTCGGTTCCGCAGATGTCGAAGCCGGACTGGAACACCTGCTCCTCCTGAGCTTCTGGCTCGACAACCGGGGCTTCTTCGTAAACGGGGGCTAAACGGTAAAATGGCATGTATCAATATGATGCGGAATATAAACATGTCACATGTGATATGCATAAGAACATTAACAACTTGAGTACAAATTTCCTTCCCGATAAAGGTTAGAAACTAATAAAACCTAATTAGGGCTTACTAGGGTTCATTAGGCATTAATGACCTTCATTAATTACTCTAAACATCATTAACAAAAGTTAATTAAAAATTTAATGATAAACTCAAATAATTAATTAAATGCCAAGGATCATTTCATGTTAATGACCCTAGGTCAACACTCAATCCAAAATCACACAAAACCCTAGTTAATTAGGGTTT